TTTCTTAACTTTATATACAATATTACTTTTATAATCTTTACTTATAAAATATACAATTAAAAATTTTTAATAAAAGTTTTTAATAATATTTTTTAAAAATTTTTTATTAAATTTTTTTAATTATAAAACTTATATAAAATTAAACAATAATATTTTTTTTATATAACTCGTAATTAATAAATTTTTATGTTATATTAAAATATATAATATAAAAAAGAAATAAAAAAAATTTTCATTAAAAAATAACTTAAATAAATAAAATAAATAAATATATTTAACATATTTATAATAAAAAATAATATATTATTTATTATTTATTAAAATATATATTTAAATAAATAAATATTTATTTATTTAATATATAATAAAATAATAAAAATTACTATTAATATAACATTTATTTTTTAATAACATAATATATATTTTTATATAATATATTTAAACAAAAAAATAAAAATTATTAAAAATATATATTTAATAACCATAATATTACTTAATTTTTATTAAAAACCAAAATATTTAATATTACAAAAATTATATATATTTTTAATTAAACTTATTTTATTAAAACTATTTACACTATTATTTTTAATATTTAAAAATTTAATAAATAATTTAATTAAAAGTTTTTAATTATCGTTATTTAAATTAATTATAATATAAAACGTAAATTACTTTATAAATTCGAAATTATAACCATTATTAAAATCACAATTAATATATTTATTATTATTAAAATTTAAAAATTAAAAACACTTTTTTAAATAATATATATTATTATTATTATATTTATTATATATATCTTTAAAAATTACATTATAAAAAACAAAATTAAAAAAATTTATAAACTTAACATCATTAATATTATCGTTTACATTAAATAAAAAATATTTAATATTATACCGTTTTTTTTAAGTTTTAAACCTTAATAAAAATACATTTTCTTTAAATTTTTAATATATATAACCACATTTTTAATTATCTTTTAATTTTTTAAATATTATAATAAAAAATATCGTTTTTTTTATATCTTTACTTTAAAAAAATAATATAATAATATCGTTAAAAAAAAACCACGTAAAATAAATAAAAAAATATTTAATAAAATTTTTAATAAATATATAAACTTTAAAATCATAATAATATAAAATTATTTTAAAATTAACTTCGTTTAATTTACCAAATAATTAAAATATATATAACATTAAAATATAAAAACAAATAATAATAAATTTAATCTTTAAATTTAACTTTAAAATTAAAATAAATTAACTTTTATCCAAAAAACGATAAAAATCCATATAAAATAAAATAAAATTAAACAAATTATTTAAAAAATTATTATATATAATATTTAACAATAAATATTTATACATAAAATTTACTTTAAACCACCATTTAAAAACTTTAAATATAATATAAATAAAATTAAATTTATTTAAATAACTAATAATTTAATAAATTTTAATATAATACATTATAACAAAAAAAAAGTTTTTTTAAAACAATACGTTAAAAAAATTTTTAATAACTTTTTTAACAATTATTTTACTTTTTTAAATTTATTAATTTTAATTCGTAAAAATAATTAACGGTTTAAAAAATTATTAAAATATTAATAAACTTTTAAAAAAATTCCAATAATTAAAAAACAAAACAATAAAATAATAATTTATAATAAATAAAAGGTAAAAACTTTTATAAAATATAGTTTATCATTTTAATAACTTAATCCTCGTAAAAGGCTTTAAGCCGTTAATGATAACATTATATTTTAACTTATAAATACGAATTTAACTGATTAATAATTAAAAAACAAAAGGTAATAAAATAAAATCGATATAAATTAAAGGTTAAAATAACTGTTAATTAAAAAATGATTTAAAATAAAAGTGTGTGTGTGTTTTTAATTAAAAAGATAAAATGATTTTAAAACTTTTATATGATCCGTAAAGTTAAAATTACGTAATAAAATACCTTATAACTAAGCTTAATAACATTACACTTGTTTAATAAATACAATTTAATTAATATAAATTAATATAAAATAAAAAATTAAAAAAAATATATTTACAATTAATATATTTAAAATTAAAAACGTAAAAATAATATTATTTATTTTGCAAAATATTATTATTTAATATTACAATAAATTTAAACTTTTAAATTAAAAATAAAAAAAGTTTTTTTTTATTTTTAATTTTTTTTTATTTAACTTTTATACATTTTTAATTATAATATAATAAACATAATATATTACCATATAATAAATACCGTTATTATTAAACGTATTTAAATTAAATAATAAATTTAAAATAAAATATTTTAAATAATAAATATTAACAAATTATAAAATTTTTTTACAATTTTTATTAATTAACATTAAAAAAAAATTAAAAAAATAAAATAAACAAAATAATACCATTTTATTAATTAAAAATAATATATAAAAATTATAATAAATAATAAAAAAAAATAAACTATTACATTATAATAAATAATTATTAAAACATATAAAATATAAAAAAATCCGATTTAAAAATATAATTTAATTAATTAAAAAATTATAAAAATAAACATATTTTATTAAAACATATTACATATAACGTTATAATATATATATTTATAAAAAATAAAATTTTTTTTTTTATATAAAAATGTAAAATATTATAATAATTTAAGCTAATTACGTTAACTTATAACTAACTACCCTTTTAAACTAAACTCACAGAATTTTTTTATTTTAACATAATACCTTATTTGGTTAACCGTAACTATCGTGACATAATACATAGGTACCTGGTCGGCTAGTTAAAGGGCTTAAAGTTAAGCAGATTTATCTTTAAATAAGTACCCCAGAAAAGAAAAGAGATGAAAATGCAAAACCATCAAGATAACAGAGCTCATCCTGCCGCACCTCAGCGTAATCATTATAATTATTTAATGCACGTAGTTGAAATAAATAGAAGAGCATTCTTATATACATAAGCCAGTCAATTCGTCTCTCGTACGGCGAAGGATCAAGGCAAGCGAATAGACAGCTAGATAAATGATCCGGGACATTTAAATGGTGACACCGTTGGGTAGTATTGGCGGTTCGCTACGCGGGCAAAGGAATATTCTGGTTCCGCCGTCAGCTCGGCTCGGTCCCGGCGATTTGAAACCCTTTGCCCGACTTTTATTAAGCTGGAGAATCTGCAAGGCCGGCAGTTTGGGGAACACGGGGGGGTTCACGCACATGGTAGTATTTTATATATCGATAACTAAGCTTGACGGTTTACGATGCAGTCTGGTTCAAGTTTAGTCATGTTGTTACTAATCTTGGTTTACCTGCTTGGGTCTCTTATTGAGGTGCGTCTGTGGGATTTTGGGGATGCAATGACTACCTCCTATAATACTTTGATGATAGCAAATGCTACACAACTGTGTACCTTTTAAAACCTCGTGAATTGAAAATATAACATTTCTTAAAATACTGGAAGGTACTTAAGTTCAGCTACTAAAGCGTGTAACCCGGTTGTGCTGCTATATTTGCACTTCGGCTCCGTTACCTGATACCGTATAGGGGTTGATTTTTCAATATTGGTTATGATAGGATATTTACTACGAGCACTATTAAATGTGCTAGCAATATTGTCTTACGTTCGGCATGTTATACGATTTATTGAACATGGCTTATGGCGGTCTGGGCGGTGTGGTATATATGGTATAGGTATTCATTAAGCCACATGCGAACCGCCTAATCATGATCAAGACCTGTCTTATTTAGATACTCCAAAACCCGCGTCTATATCACATTACACAAACATGTTATTCCGTAGCATTGTGCCCTTTCCCCTCACGTATGACAATGGCCACACCGGTTCGCACGTATTGGATGTTACCCAAATTCTAACAAGCCACTGGAAGTAACCGATATATTTATGGCAATCTCCCAATCACAGGGCTCTCCTTGAATTAGGTACCTACCCGTTAAATGACTCTGTTAGGTTACACAAAAAAAGCGAAGAACGTCTCTCCGCCACATCCTCTCTGGGTAAGTATTGCTATAAGTATTTATTAGATACCTAGGCACGTGATCAAAATACTCTCGCGGATAAGCCTACCTACCTAGGGACCTATGTAGGTAGTTTGTCGTTTAAAGGAACCCATGCGATTGGGTAGAAAGACGAACGAGCCCTTCCAGCCCCCTACCACGAAACAAATATGGCCTACGTGATGATTCTGTAAAACATAAAACTTGGAGTCCTAGAGAGATCGACCGAGAAGGATTCTAGACGGACTGTCTTATGTAGTATCTGCGACCATGATTCTCACCACCCAGCCTTAGATACATATGTGCTAGGTACCTACGCATCGGCACATGTCTCAACGATCTGACGGCACAGCGCGACGGTACCAAGATGTAACGCACCCCCCGTCTACCAGTAGACCGGTACCCCCGCGGAACAAGTAGCGACGTGAGCAAGCCATACTTGCGCGCTGCAGCCCACGACGCGGTAGTGCACATCTTTGCCCTATGCCGTAACACTTCCCGCGTATCGACCCCACACCTCTCCGACTGACTGACACGCAGTTAAAGCGAGAAGGAATCCCTCAGCATACATGCAGATCTCCGAACAGGATGGGAGAGGCTGCGTCAATCGCATTGGTTCCCGCCTCGCCCGATGTGACTTCGCCGACCCATTAGGCGGAGGCTGACTAAAGCAGCGAGGTCTGTAAGAAATCTTTATAACTTCAGCCTGGGCTGCTGTCTCCTCCTTACCTGTCTGACTTCTCTTGGATCCGCTTTTCTTGCCTTGTCTTCGATGTGAAGACAGTCAGTCAGTCACCTATGCCTATACTTCTGTTAGGGGTCGAGTCAGGATGAGCGAGAACGCAGTGGTGCCGAAGCTGCCCGCCGAGAATGGCATACACGTACGGAGGACGGCCATAGTGATGCCCTTCATCACTTTCATGTTTGTGGTCGTGAGATTCTATTGTAGGATCTACATAACAAGACGGCCATGGGCTATCGATGACTGTAGGTCTTGTCTCCAACATTCAATTGGGATTTCTCTTATTAGGTGGAATAGATGTGGTGGCAGCGACGATGGTCAGTATTATCATCCATGCCATACTAATGGGCATCGCCACCTATCACGGTATGGGCCTGCACATATGGCAATTTACACCGGAACTCAACTCGGAATATTATCTCTGGATCGGCATCTCCTCGGAATTCTACGTGACGAGTCTAGCCGGCTTCAAGTGCGCTCTACTCCTGCTCTATCTGCAGCTCTTCGGCATCAATCGCAAGTTCAGAATGGCATGCTATCTCACCATGTTTTACACGCTCGGCTATCTGACTTGCAACGCCCTTACCGAGTTTTTTGGTTGCCACCCTATAGCGAAAAAATGGGATGACGACCTTCCCGGATGGTGTATCAACAGAGTTGTAGTAAATATCATTTACGGAGCTGGCCACATGACGAGCGACCTCATTATCGGCATCCTACCCCTGGTAATGGTATGGAGGTTACAGTTCCGAACGACGAGGCAGAAGATTGGGCTCAGCCTCGTGCTTAGCTGTGGTCTTGTGTGAGTAAACTATGATACCCCTTATAAAGTGTCACTGACGGTAAGATAGTGCCTGGGCTGTGGCCTGTATCCGCTGGGCGTTCTCGACGTACGACTCGTTATCCTATGACCGTCCTTGGTACGAGTCCGATGTTTTCCATTAATCCTCTAATTTCAATTCCTGTTTCTCCAACCTTGCGAGTCATTGATATGATACCAGACCACAATACGCCCGATCACTGCTAACTAGCATTATAGGTGGTCCGGCATTAGTTTCACCTTCTCTATCCTTGAGGTGAATACAGGACTTATTTGCGCCTGCACAGCGACCTTCGGTCCGTTATTCAACAGCTTCTCTTCACAACTTAGATCGTGGTCCGATCGAGCGACAGCGAGTTTGCAGAATAACTCCCAAAAGGCAACGGCGAGCTGGCGTAGTTCTCGACACGACAGGGACCAACCTACTTGGAGACACAATAGTCTCTCCGGCGACTTACCCCTGATGCCGCCTGTTGCCCATAAAAAAAGCCACAGCAATAGCTTGGAGGATGGTTCATACCGCATGGAGTCAATTGTCACCTCAAACGCGATACCACCGTCAAGTGCCAGGTTAGATGACGAATTTGCTCAGTTTGATCTCCAGGGGCTGCAAGCGCTGCACCTTGACGATGGGAAGATGGTGTAAAAGATCAAACATCCCCGTTGACCAAGTAATTAATCCCAGGGCTAGGGATCCTATGATTTCATCCGCTGACGCATGAAATATCATTAGATCAGCTGCGACACCGTTCTGCGCTTCGCCTTAAGGCTTCGATGCGGTGTGACATAGCTAAGCCGGGCCATGCCGTCGTCGCCACTTGTATCTCACACCGGCAATTATTTTTAGGGGTGATATCTAGTATATTTATCCACCACTCAATCAGAATAGCGCAGTGAGGATTAGAGACAGGCTTGGAGGCGCTGACGGTAAGGAAAATAAGGAATCATGTCGTCAATTCTATGGATACCCCTTTTTGTTAGTGGATTAGGGCGGTAAATTTAGGTTCAAAATATATACATAGTATAATGGTAATGGATAATATTATGTTTAATATCTTCATGAATTGAATCGAGGTTTAAATTGTGATGCTGAGTGAAATTTGCTATTTCAAACGATTTGAATGAACGGTGCGTATGGAAATGAAAATATACCGTATTAATACAACGCCAACTTAAATAATGCCTAATGAATATGACATATTAAGCAGTACGATAATAATTTTAAGCAGTACGATAATAATTCAGATCGGATCTTGAATTAAGATATATTAAGATAACACAATACCAAATAATACTTAAATGCATTTTTATAACAAATTCCCGGGTTAATACCTATGCATTTCCCTATGTGACTTGAAGGCCAGTTCCAATGCCGTACAGAACGGTACCTGTTACGGATCCATACTATGCATGCCAAGACTTTTCATCGTTGAGCTCTTTTCTCAGTTGACCTGAGCTCATCAACCTAACAACCACGATACACAGCTATTTTATAAACGAGATTATCGTTTATTTAAAAGTTTAATTCAACCCGTATAATCCAAGGCGTTTAAGAATTCACCAAAAATACGTATATTTCCCTACTCTAGAATGTTGCCTCCAAGTCTTACTAACATGTCATAGCTCACTCCTGGACCATAGCTTCTGGCTCATATGAATGAGGGAAACCAAGGACCCTGGTAGTACACCTGCTGTTCGACTCTAGTATACTTTCAGCTCTTCAACTAAGGGGACGCAGTTGGGAGACATAGCAGCCTGAGATATTGAGATGCGGCCACTGCTGCGACAAGTCGCCGCGGCGCCTTTCCGCTCTAAACCATGCCACGAGCTGCTGAGAACACGGGAACTCGATGCCCTACTACTACGGTCTAGCAATGCGCCCATCTCCCAACCCGCAATGCGGAGGCCGACCCAGCTATCGAGGATATGTAATGGCTGTCGCCAGATACGACAGTACAGTAGCAACGCCGCAACTACCACTATACCGCTGAAGGAGGAAGTGAAGGAGAGAAAGGCGAAAAAGTCAGATCCTCTACGCATCCTATTCTGCGGCTCCGATGAATTCAGCTGTGCCTCCCTCGAAGCGCTGCACCAGGAGCATGTACGCAACCCGGCGCTCATCCAGTCCATCGACGTCGTGGTCCGGCCGGGTAAGCGCACGGGGAGGGGAAACAAAATCATCCAGCATCGTAAGTTACCATTTCTCTATTCTCATACCTATTTCAGTCGATACCGTCTAGCACAACAAGGTTATACACGTATTAACCAGAAGATCTTATAAAGCACCGATTAGAGACCTAGCTACGAGGCTAGGCCTTCCGATCCACGAGAGGGATACTTTTACAGGATGGGATGTGAGCTTAGTATTTTCTTGCATATACCTAAATATACTCACCTTCTTCCAATCCCTTATATGTAGGTATGTATGACATGCATCCATACTTACACATCCTAGATGCCCCCTCACACCAACCTCATAATCGCCGTATCCTTCGGCCTCTTCGTGCCCCCGCGTCTCCTCCGTGCAGCTCAATACGGAGGTCTAAACATCCACCCATCTCTCCTGCCCGACCTGCGCGGGCCCGCCCCCCTGCAACACGCCCTGCTCGCCGGCCGCACCCACACCGGCATCAGCCTGCAGACCCTCGACGACCGAGCCTTCGACCACGGCCTGATTCTCGCGCGCACGCCGCCCCTGCCGATCCCGTCCGATACTAACTACGCGGCTTTACTCGCTTATGTAACGCCCCTAGCCGCGGAGTTATTGGTGCAGGGTTTAAGGGACGGGGCACATGTCCCGCCGCTAGAGGAGGCGGCGGAACACGGCCATGGGCTAGAAGAGAGTAAGAGTCAGGGTCAAGAGGTGATAGAAGTACCTGGAAAACCAGAAAATCTCCTCCACGCGCCTAAAATCACAAAACAAGACCGCCAGCTCCGAGTCAGTAACCTGCCATACTTATGGCGGCGGTACCGCGCGCTAGGCCCGCTGTGGTTCTGGGCGCGCGATCGGCAGGGTGTGCGGAGGCGCGTTATTGTTGACCGAGTTGCTGGCGAAGACGCTACGCTATCGGATGTAGCACTTACGTTCACGCTTCCCGCGGATACGAGTCCCGGCTCTGAGTTTAGTTTAGATGAGAAGCAGAAGAAGACTCTGGTCCTTGATGCGGCTGCGTATGCTGCAGCAAGTGGAGTCGGACCTAGTGTACCGCGGCTGGTAGCTTTTGAGCAGGATGATGCCGCTACTAGCGTTAACGGTAGAGGTATTAGTGAGACGGCAAACAGTGCCGAGCAAACCCATCTCGTGCTATGGTTCCCCGAGGGAGATAGCGGCGTGTGTTACTTAGGACCCTACCGCATCGAGATGTTAAAGGTTGAGGGTGACAAGGCGAGACCGGCGGCGCGGGCGCTAAAGGATTTCCTTGTCTCAGTGGAGTTGTCTGAGATTGAATGACGGAAGATAAATACGGGTAAGTAAGGGGGAATGGTTGTGGGCAATAGCACTTGTGAACCTGTATAGCATCAAGTAAATCACATAGCAGAACAGGGAACAGATATCAAAACAGATTTATTAGTACATGACAAATAGTCTAGGTTCCTTGTAGAACTAATCTCGACACATAGTAGTAATACATTAGTGATAAGGTTCTTTCCATCAAATCACCATCATAACAGTTGCGCCGCCCGCCGAATCTTGTCCGGGTACATAAGGTAGCTAACACGGAAGGAGACGTACTCATGTCTCATAAACCCGCCAAAATCCTGTCCTGAGTTCCAGCCAGCTTTACAGCAAGATAGTTCCCATGAAATATCCTTCATAGTAGTTTCGTCATAGTCACACATGATAGTAGTAATTAGGAGGGATGGTTGTAGTAGTGGCCGGAGTCCCGATGGGACAATCCCCCACTTGTATATGGTCCGAGAAGTTTTTTACTTTTGCTCGTCCGATGAGCTTCCCGCGCTGGAAGAAGTCTCGATCTTGCTGAGGACATTTTCATCCTCAACCTCAGGCCCGTGAAGACTTTCCTCGAATACGGGTTCGGGTTCGTTGATCTCAAACTTAGTCTTGAGATCTGTGGAAAAGCTACTGCTGTTGGAGGGACGACGAGCTTTGACAAAGTTGAAATCCTCGTCGACGACTTCAACACCTTCCGGGCCCCTAGAATTGTTCAGTTAGTAGAGTTGCATCAACAATTTGATATCATGCTCTGTCGATGGTAACGGCAATGATATATAGGAGGGATAGGCTTACCAATTACCCTTGCCCCCGCCGTTCTTCTTGGTCTTCTTTGGGTTGACACCACAGAAACCATGCTTAGCGAAGAACCTGGGAACGCCGTCATGAGGGACAGCAGTTCCCTCAGCAAGGCCAGCGTGGATCTTGTCGTTGAACTTGTGAGATCGAGTCACTGCAACGATGACATAAGTTAGCAGATAGTTCATACAGCATGAGAGATGCCCAATTATCATCGTAGACAGGTAATGTGTCTTAGGTTTACTCCCTAAGAGACGTTGGTGTTGTTTGTCGTTCGACATACACCATAGCAACTGATGGAAGGGCACGTCACACGAGGATCATGCGGGGGTTGAGGAGAATAGAAGATGTAAGCTGGATTAAACCTACTTTTGATGGAGAGGTTAGGAGGATTGTAAGATGAGAGACTCGGATGAGTTAACAATCACAGATGGATGCTGATGATGAGCTCTGATATGGTTCACGGAGAGAGAAGGATCAGAGAGAATTCGAGAGTGGGAAGAGAAGTAGTATGTAATGGAGGAAGAAAGTTTGAAGAGATGAGGAGGGCGAAGATCAAGTCAAGGTTGTCCGGTTTGAAGCCTAGCGGTAGTGGTACAGCTGGTTAAGATTAAAGAAGAGTGGATGGATTTGATCTAATGGTGGGGTGACTATGGTAAGTAATTAGTTCAAGGAGGAATTGGGTTGCATTAATATGTCTTTGGCCGAAGTGTTTATGTATGTAGGTGTTGGTAGGTAGGTAGGTAGGTTAGGTAGGTATATATGTATATGTATGTACTCAGTTGGAGATATAGAAGTTCAATGGATGGGCAGGGTCTTCCCTTTAAGACATCGGAGATCAATTAGGAGGACCCTCTCTTGAGTTCTCCGATGTGTCGCCTCGTGTCCCCTCTCGTGTGTCCCCCTTTGAATCGAGTCAGAATACATGCTCATACATATTACTCACAGTCGATACTGTGAGGTGGATGAGGTGGATGAGGTGGATGAGGTGGAATAAAGTGGAATAGGTACAAGCTGTTGCAAGATTGCAAGGGAGGCACGCGAGTTCTCGAACGACCTTCATCCATTGCGAACCACTACATGAGCTGATCTTTTTTGATGGGGCAATTGAGAGTCGACCAGTCGCGTGACCGATTGACGCAAGCTTTAATGTATGTACATACATAACTTTAAGGTGCTTTAGCGGATGGTGTGAGCGAATGATCCTATTGGACAATTCCCTCGCGGCCTTCGCCGTTGAAAGAACAAAGAACGGCAATCAAACCGTCTAAAAGAAGGTTCAAGAATCTTCTCCAAAAAGGGGTCTGCTGCCCATATCAGTAACGTACAAACGTACACTACATACACGTACTACATTAGCGTCAGTATATAAGACCTTAGGACCGTATTGATACCGTATATTCACGGTATAATTGTCTGAATAGTTGCGCATCTCAGTACGAAAGAAAGACGGTAGCCAAATCTACCAACGGTATTGCTTTACAACGGTATTTTTAAGGTTAAACGTCGTCTCGGATCAACGGTTTTTCTTTTGCGAATGGTTTTTTTGGACCAACGGTCTTTTTGCGGTCCTAGTACGGTCCGGGAAGGTGTAATAGGTAAAAAAAATATATATACTACTGTACGTACTTACTATGTTACATACCTCTACATGTAAGGATTGAAGTAAGTACGTATAATAGTTAGATTTAATAGGTATTGTTTTACATTCGAACATGTTACGGCTACGGCTACGGCTACGGGGTTACTATTCAAATACACTATTACATACATACAGGCGCGTATAGCCTGCAATTACTTGGATATATAAGGTGGCATTCGCAACTTCCTGACTTAATTACATACTAATATTACACCTTCCCGGACCGTACTAAGACCGTTGGTCCAAAAAAACCATTCGTAAACATATAAACCGTTCAAATAGCCAATCAAAAATATACCAATTGTATATACAACGAAAGTTATAATAAGACGTTCATGCATTCGAATAGTATTAGAGCCTCAAACGGTAGATCTACGGTTTAGTCCTTACTTACTGTAAAAGTACGGTACTTAGGCCTTATATCCTGACGCTAATGTACAAACCCCAACAGACTTGGAAGCGGCGAGATACCATACTTTAGGTACCTTCGACTGTTTCAATTAGCCCAGCGACCGGGAACGATTACCGAATATCTTAGCGGGGCGAGGTACAAGGGTATCCCTGACTTGCTTTGCAGAATCATTGCGGCATACGATACATACATACATAGAGTTGAGAAGCAAACAAGGACCAATGAGAACGTAATCGGCTGCTAGAATTAGGTAAGTTGAAACATTAACAGAGTAATCTTCGCAAGTCTTGGGTGCTTTGTCGATCTCGAAATCTCGAGAATTTACCCGCTCAATCCGGCCCCAAAAATTACGGGTGCCCAGCCCAACCAAGCTGCCAACTTCTTCAATACGAAAAACACAACCGGCTCAATTCGTGATTCCGATTACATCATACTATTGCATCATGTCTATTTTGTTGGGAACCTTTTTACCGTTCCTTACATCCTTCCAACTCTGGTAAGTTCAGCCTCAGGCACGCAGGCACGCAGACATACAACAGCGAAGGAAACAAGAGTCCAGCCCTGAGCGGAATGAGACACACGAAAAAGAACACATGCAGGTTTATGTCACACGCCCAGAAAACGGAATGTAAAGACCCACTTATACCCCAGGTATTTCCACAATACTGTATTCCGTACCGGGTACCCTGCGTAACCTTCCCCTACCTTTCTGTCCCAAGCGATGATGAGCGGCTGCGTTATAATGCGGGGAAATCCACATTTATTTCTTATTCGCAGCTCCCTTATCCGCCCCTTTGAACTGTCTGACTGAGCAGCTGCAGTTGTTTCTTTACGTCTGTAGCGTAGTCAGCAGTGACGCCTCGAGGACAAATACAGCATAGTTGTGATATCTATATTGCCTACCTCAGGACAATGGTATTATTTGTCTATGTCTGCCAAGTTGATAAGGAAGTTGGACTTCTACTAGTGTATTACTATTATCATCTCTATGTATTGACTTCTCCCTCGTCCCTTTTCTATACCCTTCATTGGTTAACAAAGCATATCTTCGATCGGCATTACTTACCTAGCACAAGTAGATTAATCAAAGGAGAGAAAGGCGAGGCCAATTAAATTCAAGACCAAATTTTGTATTCATACCTAGCTATGACTACTATATGAAGACCAGCACTTATGTACCTATCTCTAGTAGTAAAACCACTGATTATGTCTTCTCGGCTCCCCTAAAAGTTGAAGCTGGTGAAGCGACATCGGATGTGCAATTTGGTCTTTTAGCTTAAGATGGCGAAGAATAGAAGCTGGGAAGCTTGTACCATCTATTGGCAATTCCATATCGCGGAATCCAACGTCGTGATAGCCGGTATTCTTGCGCACCGTCTCAGTCCAACAATACATAACCCTTGGCTCTAAATCAAGTTCCCAAGTACCCCGCCACGTAATAGTGCTAGCACTTCCATCATCGTAATAACGAAAAAAGCAACCGTAGCTTGTTCTGAATCCATTCCAAATTTCCATCACTCGGAGAGCAGGCATATTTCTCGCGGCGATACCCGCGACATAAAGTAAGCCGTTAACCTCCTCTGACGATTGATACGGATCTAGAAGTTTCGATGTAAGAGCTATAGTTTTTAGTTTATGCCAGGTCCAGTTTGTATAAGCTAGGGTTGACGGCCAGAATGGTTGGAAGAAGTCCTTGGCATCCACTATGAAAGACGCAGACAAGTGCTCCAGATTTAGACTCTCTCTAAACAAGGTCATAGCGATCTCAGGATTATTCGCAGCACATACTCGATTCGAAGCCATAAGGGAGTTGCGGTGAAAAGGGTCTTCGAAAATGGTCAGTTGCTTAAGTGTTTGCGGAAGGTTATTATCGGAAAGAAGCCAATGGCCTGCACAACTGAAGTTAGAGATTTATGAGTCTATAACGGAGTGAATTCTTGCGATATTTAAAAGGAGTGATGCCAACTTACGTTTCTCCTGCAAAGTTTCAAGGACGTTACCTGCGCTTTCTGGTGGTTCGTAAATAATTCGTTCCAACCCAACCAAGCTTCCGAAAATTTGTGCGATACGGTCTGAGGATACACGAGCATAATACTGTCGACGAAGAAGAAACGTAGTGACTATATCGACTTTAGGCATATCTTCTGTTGCTGTACCTTCCGCTTTTATCGCCAAGTCGTTACTAGAGCGCGATGAGGCCCCCCGAGAAGGAAAGGCGCGACCAAACGTCGATCCGGACAGCATATTGTGATTAATGGTAAACCTAACCCTCCTGAAGGATTCTGAGTACGGATCATTCACAAATCTTAGGTCAAACTCGTTATCGCACAGAGACCACGCGGACAGCTCAAGTGTCAACCCTTCCTTGTTCAAATCGACGGGCCTTTCCCAGGTGCTGAGTATTCGGAGGAGCCTCTCAATTGTATTGAAAAATTCGGGTTCATCTATAAGACTTATAGGGGATCGAAATCCGGGGTTGTCGTCGTCGTCAAATTCCGCCCTTAACCAGATATGCTTCACTAGCTTTCTCCTCGATCCTTGTACAATCTGAGCGAAACTCTTCAAACGCCGGGACGACAAGAGAATCCGCTCGAAATGCTTTTTCTCGAAGACCGACTGCCACTCTTTAGAGACGGTAGCGTATTCGATTGTCATCTCCGTCGAGGAATCAGCCACCATTTCTAGTATTGACAGCCGAACTTCGGCTGGGAGAGTTACGAAGTCCATTTTTATCTTGCTTCAAGTTATCCCACCTGGATACAATGTTGTATTTGACCACAGCAGGTATTGTAAGAGAGTGGCCGAGGAAGCAGTTTAAATTAGGTAGATTACATCAAAACGGCCGTGCGTAACGGGTAAAGGATCGTGTGTAGGCGGATGAATGAAATAAAAGAAACGTGGCACTGCTTATTGTTTAGGTTAGGTACCTAAGTTATCCTTTTGCATAGCGGGAGTTTCGTATATACTTCCTCCTAAAACCATCATCATACTAATAGACTCGTGTTTAAGAAAGAGGCCTCAGAAAGCTTCCATCTCAAACGATAGCCAGAGCTTAATCCAAGGCCCAAGCAACGGGGGTGGTCATTACACGTAGCTAAGGTAGTCAGACCAGAATATTCTTACCAGCTAAATTAGTTTTTGTACCTTAATAACTTCCAGGTTATATAGTTAATCTTAATCATAGAAGTAATATGAGTATCTCATCATATCATAATATCATAGCTTCTGCTTATAAGGTAAGATTGACTAAACGTGGTTAAAGGTTGTTGCGGCAGTTTTGCCCGACTTTTAAAAGGGATGTTGTGTTTGGCCAAGGTATTTCTTAATTAGGCAATTTGTCCGTGCATTCCACTAACGTTTGGATCCTAGGCTTTTTATTGGTCAAAATATAAAGTTAAAGTTTTAGTTATATAATTAACGTTAAATTAATTTTAATATAAATATTTTAAACGATATATATTTTTGATAAAAAAGATAAAACGGTATATATTTTTAATAAAAAAAATAAAATTTTTAATAAAAAAAATAAAAAAAAGATTAAAAAATAATTATAGTTTTAAGTTTAAATTTTATATATTTAACTTTTTTTTTATATAAAAATATTATTATTTATTATTATTATATATAAGTTTTAAATAAATTAATATTATTTAATTTTTTTAATATTAATGTATAAAAATATAATATTTATTAATTTATATATTTATTTTTTTAATTTTTTTTATTTTTTAATATTATTTTTAATATTATTTTATTATTTAACTTTTAAATTTAACTTTTTATTAATGTTTTTTAAAATTGTTAAAAAAAAGGGATAAATTGGTTAAATTAATAATTTTAAATTATAATTTTTGGAAAAGATTTTTAAATGGTAAATTTAATATTGTTAAAAAATTAATATTTATAAATTAGTTTTTTATATTTTTTTAAAAATTTTAAAATAAGTAATTTAAAAAAATAAATTTTAAAGATAATAAGTTTAATAGATTTTATTATAATTGTTTTGCTAAATTATTTAATAATAACGGTATTATTTATTATTAATATTGTTATAAATATTGATTATAAATAAATATTAAAATAAAAGGTTAATGTATAATAATGTTTTTATTATGGTTTAATTTTTAGCAAAATTAAAAATTTTAAAAGTTAATAATTAATTATTTGGCTAATTTTTTACTTATAATTTATTGGTTAATTTAATTATTTTTTTTTAATTTTATAAATAATTAAATAAATTTTAAAATAATTAAATTATAAATTTACGAATTTATTTATTTAGTAATTTAAAATATAGTTTTTTAATTTTAAAAATGTTTAATGTTATAATAATTTAAAATTAAACAATTTTTAATAGGTTATTTTTATAATTGTTAAATAATTAAATTAAATTGCGTTTTTTGGCAAATAATTTAAAAATTAATAAATAATTATTTTTAATTTTAAAAATTAAAAATAATAATTTTATAATAATTATTATTATTAATAAATTTTAATAAATAAACGATTACATTTATATAACGAATATTATTAAATTATTTAATATTTAATAAATATATGGTATTATTATTTAATATAAAATAATTAAAGGTTTAAAATAATAAATAAATATAATTTTTAATTATAAATTATAATATTAATTGTAATTTAAAGTTTAAAAAGTATTTTTAATTGTTAAAATATTTAATTATATTATAAATTAATATAAGTTTATTATATTATATATTAAAATATATTTTTAAAGTAATTAATAAACGGGAAATAAAAAAGTATTATAATATAATTTTATAATTAAATTTATTTTAAAGTATAAAAATAAAACGTTAACAAATTATATTATTAAATTATTATATTATTTTAATATTAATATTAATAAAGTTTAAGTTTATAAGTTTTTTTAAGTAAATAATTTTATAAATAATGTTATAAATTAAAAAGTTTACCAGATTTTTGCTTTTTAAAATATATAATTAATTAAAACGTATGTTAAATATTATTAATAATTGGTAAATAGGAAAAAAAAAAGTAATAGTGTTACTTTTAACCATTTTTAAATTGGTAATAAAGTTGAAAATAAAGTTAAAATTTAAATTTTTTAACGAATTAAATTAAATTTATGTTTTATTTTATTAATTTTAAATTTAAAATATTAATAAATTAATTATTAATTATTTTGAAAATTTTTATTGTTATAATATTTAATTTAATTAATATTTTATTTGGGTAAAAATAATTTTAAAATTTACTTTTATAATTATTTTTATTATAAAATTTAAGTTGGTTTAAAATTAAAAATATAATAAAATAATAAAATAATTAACGTTAATTTTTTATAATTAAATAAAAATGTAAAAAAAATAAAAAAGTAATAAATTTAAAATAAATATATTTAAAATAATTAAATTATAATATTTATTTAAATTTTAAAAATAAATAATTAAAAAAGTATATTAAGTAAAAAGCGGTTATTTAAAAATAAAATAAAAAAGTTAAAAATAATGTTATTAAAAAATTTACCAAATATTAAAAATGAAAAAAGTGTAATAGTTGTTTTTATATATATTAATTAAAAGTTAATAAATATATTAAATTTAAGTTAAATAAATATAGTAATTAATTAAATATTATAAATAATAAAATATAATAAATTTGTTAAAATTAAAGGAAAAGAAAAAAAGTTAATATAGTAAATATTTTTAATTATTATTAAAATAAATAAAAAATGGTATTTGTTATATTTAATATTTATTAAGGAATAAATAAAGTAAATGTTAAAATAAAATAATTTAAAAATATAGTTATAAAATATATTTTAATAATAATATATTTTTATTAAATAAAGTTATTAAAAAATAATTGTTAAAATATAATTATTAAAAAATAACTGTTAAAAAATAATTGTTATAATATAATTATTAAAAAATAAAAATGTATAAGTAAAAATATATTAAATAAGGTAAATTTTTATTAAAATTATAAATATATAGTTATTTAATTATATTTATTATAAAAATAATAGGTAAATTTTATGTTTTTTTTTAAATAATTGTATAAATTAATAATAATATAAATAATAATATTGGTTAAAGAAAAAAATAAAATAAAAGTAAAATAAAAATTTAATTATTATATTTATTTATTATAATTTTATTATATTATATAATAATGTTTATTTATTATATATTTTAATTATTATTTTAAGTAAAAAAATATTTTTAAATTTATTTTAAAATGTTATAATATTGGTTAAAAATTGTTTTAATTAAAGTTATTAATTGGTTAATATTATTTTATAACCGGAATGGTAATTTTAATTTTATTTAATATTTTTGGTTTATAAAAAATAAAATATATAAATTTTTTAAGTTTATTATGTAAAAGAATTAAATATAAGTAGTTATAAAATCAGAGTTTTTTTTGGGTAATTTTTAATTTATAAAGTTTAAAAAAGTATTTAATAAAGTTAAATTTTGTAATTTGTAATTGGTAATGGTAAAGGTAAAAGTTAAAGTAAATGCGGTTTTATTAAATAGTCGTTTGTTTTTTTTAAAAGTAAATATTTTTATTTTAAAAATGGATAAAACGTTAAGGTTAAATTTAAATAAATTAATATTTTACGTTATTAATAAAAATAGTAAAATAATTTATAAAATTTTTATAATTATAAAAACGTTAATGTTTATATAATAAATAATGTTATTAAAGTTAGGAAAAAACTTTTTGGTAATATATTATATATTATTTATTATTTTTAAATTTTAATAATTATTTTTTATAATATTAACGGGTATATTTTTAGTAAAAGTTAAATAAGTTAATATTTTAAAATTTAAATTGTTTATAATTGTATATATTATTTTAAAATTAATATTAATATTTATTTTAATAATTTTATAGTTTAATAAAAAGATTTAAATTTTTTATTTTTTACTTTTTATAAATATAAACGTTATTTAAAAATTAATAATATGCCATATTTTATTTAAAAAGTAAATAATTTTTATATTTTTATTTAATTTAATATTTTTTAAATAAATTAATTTAAAATTTAATAAATTAATATTTTTAATTATTTATTTATTATTTTTTAACTAATAAAAAAAAAGGATTAATTAAAGGTTTACGGTTTTTATTTATTAATTTAAAATAATTATAAATGTAAATTTAAATTAAAAATTATAATTTATATATTATTTTTTATTTTTTAATATAAAAGTTTTATTAATTTATTTTAAATATTTATATATAAAAAGTTAATTTAAATATAATAAAAAATTACCGGTTATAAAATTAAATTAATAAAAGTTATTATATAATATAATTATAAATATATTGCTAAAATTTATATTTAATTATTTATAAATTATTTATAATTATTTATAAATTTTATAAAATAAAAGTTCTGGTATTATTAAATATTTATTAATAATTAAAATATTTATATTTTTTTATATAATTAATTTAATATTAAATATCTTTTTTTTATTATTTTTAAAAAGTTTTATAACTAAGTATATAATGGTATTATTGATTTACATAACGGCATATTTAAATATAATTATTATTTAAAACTATTTTTAAAAATCTTTTATTTTTAAAAATTTAATTAAAATATATAAAATTATATTTTTCTTTATTTTCTTTTTTTTTTTAAAGTAATAAAAAAGTTAAAATATATTTTTATTGGTAATATTATTTATTTCGGTTTAAAAAACGTTAATGTGGTTAAAATGGTAAAAGATAATATTAAATATTATGGTTTATTTTTTATTTAAGTTTTTTTTTTTTATTAAAATTACGTTTATATTAGCTTAAATTTATTTAAAATAATATTTAATGGTTATATAAATTGGTTAATTGGTTATTTCTGTAAAAGTTTTAAAAATTGGATTATTATTTATATTAATAATTATATTTTTTTAAATTTTAACGTTTTATATATTTTTTTAAATTTTAATATTTTATATATTTTTTTAAGTTACAATATTTTATGCATTTTTTTAAGTTATAATACTTTATATATTTTTTTAAACTTTAATATCTTTTATAATTAAATTATTTATAAATAATAGTATAAAATTATTATTTATTTTTAATATTTAACATAATTAATTATTATTAAAGATATTTAATTTAATTTTTTAAATATAAATATTATTATTAATAATTTTAATAATATAATTTTTAATAGTTAAAAAATTTAATATTAAAAAGGTTATGTTATTTATTAACTTTTTATAATAATTTAATTTCGATATAATAAATAAATT